CCCTTTCTCCACAACTTCTCCAACATTTGTTGTTTCTTGCCTTGTCAATTTTTGCCATTCTAACTGGTGTAAGGTGGTATCTCAATGTGGTTTTGATTTGAATTTCCCTGATGGCTAATGATAATGAACATTTTTTCATGTGTCTGTTAGCCATTTGTATGTCTTCTTTAGAGAAGTGTCTGTTCGTGTCTTCTGCCCATTTTTTGACTTGATTATTTGTTTTTTTGGGTGTTGAGTTTGAGTTCTTTATAGATCTTGGATATTAGCCTTTTATCTGTAGTGTCATTTGCAAATATCTTCTCCCATTCTGTGGGTTGCCTCTTTGTTTTGTTGATTGTTTCCTTTGCTGTGCAGAAGCTTTTTATCTTGATGAAGTCCCAAAAGTTCATTTTTGCTTTTGTTTCCCTTGCCTTTGGAGACATGTCTTGAAAGAAGTTGCTGTGGCCTATGTCGAAGAGGTTACTGCCTATGTTCTCTAGGATTTTGATGGATTCCTGTCTCACATTGAGGTCTTTCATCCATTTTGAGTTTATCTTTGTGTATGGTGTAAGAGAATGGCCGAGTTTCATTCTTCTGTATATAGCTGTCCAATTTTCCCAGCACCATTTATTGAAGAGACTGTCTTTTTTCCAGTGGATGTTTTTTCCTGCTTTGTCGAAGATTATTTTACCATAGAATACCAAAATTTATATTTTTCTTAATCATATTCAGAAGTATATACTTAATCTAGTGACTCTGAAAAAGTGCAAAATAATTTTGAGGTTCCTAAAATTAACTATTACTACCAATAATAGCAAATATTTAAATAGCACTTACTATATCCCAGGTGCTATTGCTAGCACTTTACTTGTATTAACACAACAACTCTTGAGTTAGGTACTATTTTACCCAATATGTTGATGAGGAAACTGAAGTACAAAAAGGATAAATAACTTGCCCAAAGTTACACATCTGTTAAATGCCCAAAGTTACACAACTAGTAAGTGAAACAGCTGGAATTCAAACCCAAACATCTGGCTCCAGGGTTCTTGCTCTCAACTGCACTGCCACCAAAAATCATCTTGAGGCAAATTATATGAATCATCAAGGTAGGAATGGTATGTTTGCTTTTAAAAAAGAGATGATTATAGGGGCGACTGGGTGGCTCAGTTGGTTAAGTGTCTGACTCTTGATTTTGGCTCACGTCTTGATCTCAGTGCTGTGAGACTGAGCCCTGAGTCAGGCTCCATGCTGGGCATGGAGCCTGCTTAAAGAGTCTCTTTCTGTCCCTCCCCCCCCTTCTCTTTAATAAAAAAAAAGAGATGATTATAGAGTAACGAGACTTATTTTCTCCTGGGGTTTATAAACTGCTTCTCAAGACATGATTCTCAATTAGGGATTCCAAAAACTTTTTGTATAATGACAATATCTTTGGAATGGATATTTAGTGTATTTTTTTATTATGTTATGTTAATCACCATACATTACATCATTAGTTTTTGATGTAGTGTTCCATGATTCATTGTTAGCGTATAACACCCAGTGCTCTGTGCAGTAATGTCCTCTTTAATACCCACCCCAGGCTAACCCATCCCCCCACCCCCCTCCCCTCT